AATCAGAGACCTCCCCTTGACACCCTCTGGCAGGGCCCACCCGAATCCCAGGACTGAGATGTGAGGGAGCAAAGAGCCCGAGGAATGCCATGCTCCGGCTGGTCCGGGACATGTGGAAATTCGGACTCAGGGAAAGGCTGGGCTGGGTAGCAACTGGGAGGCTGGCCTGAGTTCCCAGGACCTGGGGAGCTTGATTCCCAGCCCTCATCCCATCTTTCTCCTCTACTCCCAGCCCACCTTGTGCTAGCCACTGGGAATAGAACTGTCTCCCTTCTGCCCTGGGGGCCCCTCTGCCCTGGTGTCCAGGGATGATTGTGCCAAAACTCTCGTTTCCAGTGCCAAGCCTCAGGTGGCTTGTAAGCAAGGGTCAGCGTGAGGGACGGAGAAGGGCCGGGTCCCTGGGAACAGTCTCAGGTCTGAGTTGCACACTGTGTAGCCCCCAGTGAGGCCAAGTTGGGGCATAGCCCAGTCTCTGCTCAGGGTCAGGGTAGGAGGGACAGGCTCTGATCCAGAGGAAAGAAGCTAGAGCAGCGGGGGAAGGATGTAGGTGAAGGAGGTGAGAGGCAAATGGGGAGAAAGGAAGTGGAGGAGGAGGTGATAGTGATTGGAAGGAGGGAAAAGGCTTCCAGAGAAGGAGAGAGGGATAAAGGAGGAGTGATGAAGAAAAGGCAAGAGGAGAGGAGTGGAGGGAAGAGGGAACTAGGGGAACACACCCATGGGTCTTCCTCTGGGAAGGAGCTTGGTCGGTTGGGAACAGGGAGGGGCTCCGTAAGCCAGCTGACATTGTCATCTAATCCGTCCCCACAAGATAATGCCTAAACAGGAGGGGATGGGGAGGGTATTTATATGGGCTACTTGGTGGGAGGTGGGCACCCGACAGGTCCACTGGAGGGTCTCCAGGCACACTTTGGCCCTTCCCAAAAAGGGGGCAATCCTTTTTCTCAAAGCTTTGACCACCTGTGTATTAGGGGATCATAGGGGACATTTTATTATTGACCCTAGTTATTATTATTATTATTATTATATTACTATTTTTATTAAACCTCTCCCTACTGATGAGTGGGGGGCAAAATAAGTATTTAACTCCTCAAATGCCCTATTCCTGGGAGGGGTTGACCCTCACTCTGTGAGGCAGTAAGAAAACAATAAAGACAACTTTGTAAGCTGCTGGACTCAGCGCCTGGATCTGCCTTCCTGGGGTTCAGAAAATAAAGGGGTGGGGATCAGAAATGGAGGGAGGAGTGTGTTATCAAGGGAAGTTAAAGACCAGATTGTCTTCCCAGTATTTTCAGGAATCAGGTGGCACATTCAAAGGGGGTGAATGAAGAGAGTTTAATAGCACAGGGATGGCAGCATTAAAGGGACCCAGTGAGCATGCCCCCGGGCCCAGCAGCAGGGAGAGGCAGTGGTGCTTCCGAGAGGAGCTGTGGCTCTCGGGAGAACTTGGTGGTGGCCGAACTTGATGGTGGCCGAGCAGGAAGGCAGTCCAGGAAATAGATTGCTCCTCCCATCTCCTGCCTCCTTTTGTCCAAATCCAAGCAGCAGCCAGAGGACCCTAAAGCTCAGTTTTATTGCATGTCCTAGAAGGTAGCGTTAGGGCCACTGAGCTGGGTGGGGAAGGATGGGGAATGGATGTGGAAAGTCCATCCTGTGAGGCTGCTAAGAGAAGGGAGGAGGAGGAGGGGTCTGGTAAGGGTCTCACTGGTCCTGTGACAGCAGGACGCAGGTCTAGGCAGAGCTCGATGAGGAGGCCTCTCAGTTCCTTAGACTCTTCTCCCATGATCTTGTCCTGCACCCCACCCCAGCCCCTCACTCCCACAGCACTGTCCTGTTACCAGCTACCAGCTACCAGCTACATGTGGCTCCGGAGAAATATCACTAGTCTGAACTAGGATGTGCTGTGAGTTTAAAGTACATACCAGATTTCAAAGACTTAGTGAGAAAAAAATCTACAAATTATCATTAATAATTTTTATATTGATTATAAGTGGAAATAACATTTTGGATTATATATTATAAAATTAATCCCACTTACATCTTTTTACTTTTTTATTGTAGCTACTAGAAACTGTATTGTGTCCACGCCTGATGCACCTCATGTTGTTTCCACTAGTCTAGCTCTTCTCATTCCAGTAGCGACATAATCAGTGTCAAGCACCCACTCTCTCACCAACACCCCTGTCTTCCCAGCTCCCCAACTTCAGGGAATTTTTGACCCCACTGGAACCTGCAATCCATAGATTGTGCCACACTTTTGCTGTCCCTCATCCCTCTTGTGTTCTTATGTGCCTCCTCACACAGCCTACATTCCAGGTCAGTCATTCATTATGGTCACTTTTTTACACGAATATTTATTTATTTAACAAATGTTTGTTGAAGACCAATCATGTGCCAGATATTCCTTGTCCTTATGGAGCTTATATTTTGGTGGTAGGAGACAAACAATAAACAAATAAGTAAATTGTATTATATGCTAGAACAGTGGTTCTCAACTGGGGGCAATTTTGCCCCCTATGGGACATTATGGCAATGTCTGGAGACATGTCTCATTCCCACAACAGGGGGAGGGGCACTACTGGTATCTATCGCTAGAAGCTAGGATGCTGCTGAACATCCTGCAGTGAACAGGCAGCCCCCAAATACAAAGAATTATCCGGCCCAAATGTCAGTAGTGCCTAAGTTGAGAAACCTGCTCTATAAGGTGTTACTACTTTAGAAAAATTTTAAAAAGTAGATTGGGGTGTGGGATTGAGAGAGGAAGTTGGGTTAGAGACTTCATTGAGAAGGTGACATTTCAGCAAAAGAGTGAGTGAGGGAGGGAGGGAGACCAACTAGACTTCCTATCTCATTGAGAAAATTAAAGTACCCATCACATGTGCCCGTGTACTCTGTCTTCTCTCCAATTATTGTGGGTAAACTGTTCATGCTCCTAGCAAAGGCCAAACCTCTCCCTCAAGAGCTCTCGTTCCCTCCATCTGTTCAAGGCCATCAGTCCTGCAATTCTCTTCTATTAAACAACAACAGGAGCATTTGAAGTCTTGCTCCACAGCTGCATATGTCATTAGTTTGGCTCAAATAAACTCATATATATATTTTTAAAAACAGCAACAACAATCTTCTTTTACCCTCTTCCCCTCCCTCCCAGCTGCCATCTTATTTTTCTCCTTACCTTTGCTGCAAAGCTCCCCGACAGAGTTGTGTATTATCACTGTCTCCAGTTTCTTTCCTCATTTTTCATTTATTTACTTACTTATTTTTTGGAGAGGGAGAAACATAGATTTTGTTGTCCCACTTATTCATGCATTTATTGTTTTTTTTAGAGAGAGAGGGAAAGAGAAACATGGATCTGTTGTTTCATTCATTCATGCATTCAGTGGTTGCTTCCTGTATGTCCCCTGACAGGGGATCGAACCCACAAGCCTGGTGCATTGGGACAGTGCTCCAACCAACTGAACTACCTTGCCAGGGCCATTGGTTAATTCTTGTATGTGCCCCGACTGGGGATTAAGCCCACAACCCTGGTGTATTGTGATGACATTCTAACCGAGTTACCTGGCCATAGGTTCTGAGGTGCCCAAAATTTGACTGGTTTTATTTTGTTTGTTTATTTATTTATCCTCACCCGAGGACATTTTTCCATTTTTTGTTCAGAGAGAGAGAGAGAGAGAGAGAGACATCGATGTGAAAGGGACACATCGGGTGGCCGCCTCCCGCACAACCAACCAGGGCCGGGGACAAACTGCAACCAAGGTACATGCCCTTAGCGGGAACCAAACCCGGGTCTCTCTGGACCACACGCAGGCTGACACTCCAACCACTGAGCCAAACGGGCAGGGGCGACTGGTTTGGTTTTAAAACAGAAAGTTCCATATCCCTGAAGTCCCTTCAGTCCTGGGCAAACTGGGACAGTCGGCCACCCTGTTCACCAGCTTTTCCATTAAGGTCCTTTTTCTGTTCCAGAATTCAACCCACCACATTGCATTTAGTTGTCCTGTCTCCTTAGTCTCTTACAATCTGCAACAGTTTCTCAGTCTTTCCTTGTCTTTCATGTCCTTGACACTTTTGAGGAGTACTTGTCAGGTCATTTTGTTGAATAACCCCCAGTTTGGGTTTGCTGGGTGTTTTCTCATGATTAGACTAGGCTTATGGGTTTTGAGGAAGAAAACTCACAGAGGTGAAGTAGGGCGGAAATTTGACCTGTCTTATTCACTGCTGCATAGCCAGTACCTAGAACTGAGTGCCTGGCTCGCTGTAGGCACCAAAAATCTGTCTGTTGAATGAATACTGGAATGAATGAAGGCCTCTGGAAATGATTTAGGGCTGTTCTGAAGTTTTAAAATGTTAATATAAATACTATCCTATCAAACATGTTCGGCAGTTTTTTCACCCTTCAACAGTGTTTCCTTGAGAGTCATTTTAGAACGCAGAGAGCCACTTCATTCTTGTCACTTTTACCCTTTCACAAGTGACTGCAAGGGCTCTTCAGGTGGTCTCTGCGCGCATTCGTTAGGTGTTCTCACGGCAGAATCGGGCAGAATCGCGGAGAATCGCGGAGAATCGCTAGCCGCAGAGTAGGCGCATGTACGTGTCCATGGATACCGAATGTCAGCCCAAGGGCTGAACACATTTACACCTCCGCAGCATTGAAAGGACCCGTTTTCCTCACATCTTCCCGACACGTGATGACCTACAAAAGCGCAGTGACCCCTGAGGGTGCCTGGTCACTTTCCGGACCACATCTCCCAGAAAGCACCGCGGCCTCGCTACCTGGTGGCGTAGAAGGGAATGACCAATCCCCGAGAGCCCCAGAAAGGTGGCGCTGCCGCCACGCCTCGCTCCCCGGCGCGCCCAGAGCAGTGACTACCACTCCCAGAAGCCACGGTGGACAGGCGCCGCTGGCCACCATTTCGAGGCTCGGCGGGGGTGGGCGAGGGCGAGGGCGGGGTCCGCTTCCCGGCAGGCAGTGCGGCCCGAGGGGCGGAACTCCATTTCCCAGCAGGCTCCGGGCGGCGGGCGCCGCGGTGCCTTGTGTGGGATGTAAGCGCGGAGGTGGGCGCGGGGGACTGAAGCCAGGACTCTTTGGGATTTGGGGGGTGGGCCAGGGGGTGCCTTCCGGACGGACTCTAGGACACCGGGGTGCGGTTGTAGAGAGGGAGCGGGCAGCCATTGGCGGTCCTCTGCGGTGTTCTAGGGGCGCACCCCCATCGGGGCCGGGGGCCGGGGCTCCCAGGGGCTGTGGGGACGAGGAGGCCCTACAGCCTTGGCTGAGGGGGTCTCATCCACGCAAGAACAGATGAGCGGAGGGTGAAAAGGGGCGGGGAAACAAGGGATCGTGCATGTGTGTGTTGGGGGGCGTTTGGAACCTTAGCGGAGCCCGGGAAGGGGCTCCCTGGCGGTGCCGCCCGACTCTCCCTCTCCTGGCTCACCCGCAGGCCGAGGCCCGCCGCCATGGGGCTGAAGGCCGCCCAGAAGACGCTCTTCCCGCTGCGCTCGATCGACGACGTGGTGCGCCTGTTCGCTGCCGAGCTGGGCCGAGAGGAGCCGGACTTGGTGCTCCTATCCTTGGTACTGGGCTTCGTGGAGCATTTCCTAGCTGTCAACCGCGTCATCCCCACCAACGTGCCCGAGCTCACCTTTCAACCCAGCCCGGCGCCCGACCCTCCCGGCGGCCTCACCTACTTCCCAGTTGCTGACCTATCCATCATCGCTGCGCTCTATGCCCGCTTCACCGCCCAGATCAGAGGTGCCGTCGACCTGTCTCTGTACCCCCGCGAAGGGGGTGTCTCCAGCCGCGAGCTGGTGAAGAAGGTCTCCGATGTCATCTGGAACAGCCTTAGCCGCTCCTACTTCAAGGATCGGGCCCATATCCAGTCACTCTTCAGTTTCATCACAGGTTGGAGCCCCACAGGTGGCAAGGGGCGAGAATCCTGTTCCACCCAACCTTGGCCTACCTCTTCACAACACATAGTTTACAGAGCCCTTTGGAGACCTGTAAGCCTTGTGAGGTGGGGCAGGTGTTAATCCCCCCTATGCAGTTAGGGAAGCTGAAGCCCAGAGAGGGAAATAATGTGCCAAAGTCACACAGAATGGCCAGGCTGGGACTAGACCCCACTCACTTGGCTTCAAATCCATTAATCACCCTCTGCCCCCTCAGCGCCCCCCATCCCTGCCACTGAGCAGTTGTGGGAGTCCTACGCGCCACCATGAGGCACAGAGGGCAGCAACGGATTTGGGGGGTGAGGAGTCAAAATCCAGCTGCATTTGAGACAATTAAATGAAATATGAAAACGTTTTAAAAGTGAACAGAGAGGGGCTTCACCTCTGGTGATGGCTTAAGGCTTAGGGATTGCGAAGAGCTTTGCTCCCAGGCCAGTTGACTAGTAGTCACGTTCTGGAGTGCCATGCTGAGAGGAATCTGAGGCTGCTTCCAGCTTAGCAAGAAAAGAGTACAGATATAACTTACAAGTATTTGCCAGTGGGTGTGTGAAAAAAAGTATTGGCCAGAGATCCTATTTTTGCACATTCTTTTATAACCTGGTAGGTACAATAAAAGGAGGAAATTCTTAAATTAACATAAACATATAATATGGTTGCAGAGAGAGAGGAGTAACAGGTTCAAGGCTGGGTGGAACTAGGAAGATTCAAGAAGGTCTGTTGTTGATGGGAGTTGTAAACAAAGAGGAAGAGGCTTTGAACACACAGAAGGATGGGGTAGGGGAGTGATGGAGGAGGTTCTGAGGTTTGGGCACAGGCTGGGAGATGAGGGTGGGAGGGAACATGGCCAATCACTGCCTAGCCCCCTTCCTCCAGGCCAGAGCTCAGAGGATCCTCTTTCCTTACCTCCTTCACAGGCACCAAACTGGACAGCTCTGGTGTGGCCTTTGCTGTGGTGGGGGCCTGCCAGGCTCTGGGTCTTAGGGATGTCCACCTGGCTCTGTCTGAGGACCACGCCTGGGTTGTGTTTGGTCCCAATGGAGAGCAGACAGCTGAGGTCACCTGGCATGGCAAGGGCAATGAGGACCGAAGGGGCCAGACAGTCAACGCGGGTGTGGCTGAGCGGGTATTGCCTCCTCCCCCTGCTCCCTTCACACTCCTAACCCAAGTCACCCAAGGGGCTGTGCTTTCCTGGGCCACACTTCCTTCTTTCCATCACCACCTACATCTGTCAGGAAGGGGGCGGAGAAGGGCCCCTTTCCTGGCCATCATGAGACATCTGGTATTGTCCTCTTCCAAGAGCTGGCTGTACCTGAAAGGATCATACATGCGCTGTGACCGCAAGATGGAGGTAGCTTTCATGGTATGCGCCATCAACCCTTCCATTGACCTGCACACTGACTCCCTGGAGCTGCTGCAGCTGCAGCAGGTGAGGTGTGCTGGGACCCTGGGCAGGGGCACTTTCCCTCCCTGAGCTTCAGCTTCCCCTTTTGCAACGTGGTTAACAATTCCTGGGCTGGCCTTTCCCAGGGTTCTTGGGAGAAAGGGCTTTGACTCCAGTAAGGGGCCAGTTTCTAAATTCTGGCCCTTCCTACCTGGTGGGAGATCCCTGCTGGTGTTGGATCCCACCTCTGCCTGGTAGACTGAGGACTTCTCACCCCTCCCCGCCAGCTCATACTTCTCTCTTTTGGCCTCTAGAAGCTGCTCTGGCTGCTCTATGACCTAGGACATCTGGAAAGGTCAGTAGGGGGAAGTGGCCAGGCTGGGCTTTTGGAGGCTGGGTGGCTAGGTGGCAGCGTGGACTCATGACCTTTTTCCAGGTACCCCATGGCGCTGGGGAACCTGGCAGATCTGGAGGAGCTGGAGCCTACCCCTGGCCGGCCAGACCCACTCACCCTCTACCATAAGGTGGGGACATCTCAGGAGGGTACAGAAGGGAGACCCAACAGTGGCTGGGGTTCCCTTCCACCTGGGAACTGGGAGGGGGCAGGTGAGAGAAGAACTTTGTGTGTATTGGGAGTTATCACCCCCTTTGTATTTACCACGCACATATTCAGCTCTGAGGGGTGTTCTGGGATTGGCGGGCCCCTCAGCCCTGGTTTTTTTCTGCCTCTCCTTGTCCTTCCTGGAGTATAACAGATATCAAATGTGGGAGCACTGAGGAGGGGGCTGTTGACTTGGTGGGGGTGGGGGTAGGGGTAGAAGTGACATTGGGTTGGGCTTGTAAGGCTTTGGTGTTTGGGAGCGTGTGGGCAAGCCTGGGAAAGGGACATGCCCTAAGCTTGGAGGTTGGACCCTTCTTCTTCCCTAGGCCTTGTTCTGTGGGAGTCTCCACCCTCGCATTCTAGCCCAGGACTCAGCAAGCAGTCCTGCAGACCTGGGGGAGGGACACCTGGTAGAGGGGATGGCAGAGGGTAGAGGTGGAACTGGAGATGGGACTCTGGGATCATGTCTACTTTGCCTTCTGAATATGATCTGATGGGACATTAGTGCCAAATGGTACAGCTGGGGGCTGCCTCCCTGAGGGCCTTCTGCTCTGTCCCTAGGGCATTGCCTCAGCCAAGACTTACTACCGGGATGAGCACATCTATCCCTACATGTACCTGGCTGGCTACCACTGTCGCAACCGAAATGTGCGCGAAGCCCTGCAGGCCTGGGCCGACACGGCCACTGTCATCCAGGAGTGAGCATCCTCCCAACTAAGGCCTTAGCCCATCCTTTCTTCCTCTTCTACCCAATTTCCAGTCACCCTTTCCCAGGAGTGAGGCCTGGGCCCCAAGCCCTTTCCTTTTCTCTAGTCTATAGGCAGCCAAGGCTACCATCACCCAGGAGGTAGGGATCCCTAATGAGGGCCTCATACCTTTCCCTTTCTCCTCTCTCCTCCTGATTGCCAACCACCACCATTCAGCAGTAAACCCTGACCCCCCACCCCATGCCCCCCTCCTCACTCTGGGTTGATACAATATTATTTTGGAGTGAGGACCCCAGCCACTCGCCTGGTCTCTAGATGATCCAGGAAAAGAAATCTGGGCTCCATCCCCACCAAATCCTTGGGGGTACCCACCATGGCCAAGGCTCCACAGTGCCCTATTGCTCTCACAGCTACAACTACTGCCGAGAAGACGAGGAGATCTACAAGGAGTTCTTTGAAGTAGCCAATGATGTCATCCCCAACCTGCTGAAGGAAGCAGCTAGCCTGCTGGAGGCTGGGGAGGAGCGGCCAGGGGAGCAGACCCAGGTGAATGGCTCTACCTGTGTCTACCGTCCCCTCTGATCAGGGCTCCCAGTCACAGGATATGGGGACTGCTGCCCAGGACTGGGGACTGCATGAGGAAGGTAGCCTGTTCTGTTAATCAGTAGCCATGGTCCTGGGCCAGGGTTTGAGGGAGCTGAGGATATTTTAGGGGTTTCCACCCTATTCCTTTAGGTAAATGGGATGAAGCCCATCTCTTTCATGACCAGGGTTCCTATTCAGTTGAGGGGGATGGGATGGAGGTAAGGGATGGTTTCCCCTTTTCTCTGAGCCCTGGCTAAGTTCTGGTTTTATAAAAGAAAGGAGGTTCTAAGAATTCTCTTTCCCTATGCTCACCTTTTACTGAGCCAGGGCTCTTTGCTTAGACGAGGGGCCTGGCCTGTGTGTGTCCTTTGATAAGGGGTTCTGATCTGTGCCCTCCTTTCCCCCTTGCCCAGGGCGCCCAGAGCCAGGGGTCTGCCCTCCAGGACCCAGAGTGCTTCGCCCATCTGCTTCGGTTCTACGATGGCATCTGCAAATGGGAAGAAGGCAGCCCCACGCCGGTGCTGCACGTGGGCTGGGCCACCTTCCTTGTGCAGTCCCTAGGCCGTTTTGAAGGACAGGTGAGGGGCAGCTGTGCATGGGGACTGAGGACAGGTGGTGGCAGCAGCTACAAAGGAGCCAGAGCCTTTGTGCCCCTGAAGGGGATCTGCTCATCCCCTCTGGGTGCATATGATACTGAGGCCTCAACATGATGGCCGACGCGGAATCCTGGGGATACAGCCACTGGATTGTAACCTTTCCCTCGGCTCGCACTCCCTCTCTTGCCTAGGTGCGGCAGAAGGTGCGAATCGTGAGCCGGGAATCAGAGGCCGCCGAGGCGGAGGAGCCCTGGGGCGAGGAAGCCCGGGAAGGCCGGCGGCGAGGTCCGAGGCGGGAGTCCAAGCCCGAGGAGCCCCCACCTCCCAAGAAGCCGGCGCTGGACAAGGGCCCAGGCGCGGGGCAGGGCATGGTGCCAGGACCCCCCCGGAAACCCCCAGGGACGGTCCCAAGCACTGCCCGGGGCCCTGAAGGCGGCAGCATGGCCCCAGCTCCTGCGCCTGCCGCGTCGCCACCTCCAGAGGGTCCGGTGCTCACTTTCCAGAGCGAGAAGATGAAGGGCATGAAGGAGCTGCTGGTGGCCACCAAGATTAACTCGAGCGCCATCAAGCTGCAGCTCACCGCGCAATCACAAGTGCAGATGAAGAAGCAGAAGGTGTCTACACCCAGCGACTACACTCTTTCCTTCCTTAAGCGGCAACGCAAGGGCCTCTGAGCTGCACACTGGGACTCCTTATTAGCTCATCCGAGCTGATGTTCAGTCCCGATCCAGGCTCCACCCCAGCCCTCCCTCAGCGAGCCTAGGTTCCGCCCCAGCCAATGGGACTTAGGCCGGGCCCCCGGGCCCCACCCCTACCCGGAATCTAGGCTTGGGTGCCCTGGTCCCCGAGTCCCACTACCCCAGCGCTATACTGGAATATAGGTCCCATCCCCAGCATCCCAGCTGGCCCGTTGAAACCTCACCTGGGCCCCATAAAGGTCCAACCACGGGAAACTCAGGCCCCACCTCAGAATCCAGGCTCTAACCGTAGGCCTGACCAGTGTTGCTCTGGGTTGCTCTTAGCCCATGGGGCTGAAGTTTCACCCTAAACTCCGGACGCGCAGGTCCCGCCTCCAGCCCAGGAACTTATGGCCCCGCTCGTAGAATATTTCCGCACTTCACAATTACATCCCTTGGGAATCCAAGCCCCCTACCCTCCAAAATTTTAAAGGAGCGCTTTCAGAATTTGGAAATTCTAGCTTTCTCCTTTCCCTGTCCCACGAGTCCGGGATACGAAAGTCCTCCAGCCTCTGTGAATTCTGAGCTCCGCCCCCTTCCTGACCAACTGGCTCCAGATCAGAGCAGACCTCTCTTCCGACCCTCTGGGAACCTTCGCTAGGTCCAGCCCGTCTCGGGGGACCCAGGAGGAAATCTGCCGGGGTTTGTGATTGGATGAGGGGAGCCTGATCTCTGTTTTGTACATAGATTTATTTTTCAGTTCCAAGGAAGATGAATACATTTTGTAAAAAAAAAAAAAAAGTCCGTGTCTGTGTTTCATCTGGGAATCTGAAGGGCAGGGTGGAGTGCCCTCTCCTCTGCTTCGGGCTCACCACCTGTAGAATGCAAGGAAACGCTGGCTCAAGGACCTCGGCCCCGCCAGGCTTCGGGGCTTCCCCTCCCCGCCGAGGGCCTGTCCCGCGGGCGCCTCCTCCCGGCCGGGCGGCGGGGCATCCCCCGCCTAACCCCGCCCCAGGCCCCGGCCCCGCCCCGCGGCCTCTGAGGCACCGGCGCCCCGCCCTGCCCGCGCCGCCCCGCGCCGCCCCGCGCCGGCTCCGGCTCCGCAGCTCGCGTCCGCTCGCCCGCCGGCCAGCCGGCGCCGGGCCATGGCGCTGCTGCGGGACGTGTCGCTGCAAGACCCGCGGGACCGCTTCGAGCTGCTGCAGCGCGTGGGGGCCGGGACCTATGGCGACGTCTACAAGGTGCGCCGGGCGGCTGGACTGGCGGGAGGGCGGCGAGGAGGATGCCAGCTCCGCGCCCTGCTGCGGGATCCAGCCCCCAGCCCCGCCTCCTCCTCATTCCGCTTCACCTCCTCTGTCCCAGTAGGCCCGCGACACGGTCACGTCCGAACTGGCCGCGGTCAAGATAGTCAAGCTAGACCCAGGTGAGAGTCGGGGCCAGGGCCTCTGCGCTGGAGGACGGGCAGAGAGCTTGGCGGTGCGCTGTGAGGGGCGGAGAGTTGACATTTCCGAGATCCCCTGAGAGGCAGCCCCCAGGAGGTGCTGTCCCTTGGCACTTGTCTGGCCTGGAGGGAGGAAGAACTCTGTGCTCATTTGCAGATGAGGGCAATGAGTTGGGGTGATGCCTCTGAGGCGCCCCCCCACCCCATGATGTCCTGTGCTCCACAGGGGACGACATCAGCTCCCTCCAGCAGGAAATCACCATACTGCGTGAGTGCCACCACCCCAATGTGGTGGCCTACATTGGCAGCTATCTCAGGTGAGGCTGCTTTATTCCCCTGCCCACCCTCAGGAAGCCCTCATGCGGCCCTGCCCTGTGCCCACCCAGCTCCGTGTTCCCCCAGGAACGACCGCTTGTGGATCTGCATGGAGTTTTGCGGAGGGGGGTCCCTGCAGGAGATTTACCATGGTGAGGGCCGGGACTCCAGGCCCCAGAGGGCCACAACCTTCTTCCCACCCTCTACCCCAACATGTGGCAGGAGGGAGAGCTGGGGCTCCAGTCTGCTCCTCGCTGGCTATGTGACCTTGAGAGAAATACTGTCTTTCTCTGGGCTCTGTATCCCGGACTGCCTTCAGCTTCCTTGACCCAGGGTGGCCTGGGAGGGTCAACATATACCCCAAGCCCCCAAGCCAGCTCTCACTTCTTCCATTTCAGCCACCGGGCCCCTGGAGGAACGGCAGATTGCCTACATCTGCCGAGAGGCACTCAAGGTAGCTAGGCCCAGAAGGCTGCTCACACCCCAATGCCCAGGAGCTGTGGGCAGGGAGCCCAGCTGGCCAGTATGCGTGGGGTGGAGTGCCCCAGGCAGGGCCCGCCTGAGGGGCTGTGGGTCCTGAGAGAAGGGGCCCCAGCCCTGTTGCCGGAAGCAGCCCATTTCCCTCTTGGCTCAGTCACTTCCTGTTTGGGGAGAGGGGAGGAGGAAGCGGCTTGGGTGGGGGGCCCCAGTCCTCAGAGAGGGTTCAGGAAAGGTGGGATGGTGCTGGGTAGCTGCTCTCAGGGGCTCCTCTTTGTCCCCAGGGGCTGCACCACTTGCATTCTCAGGGGAAGATCCACAGAGATATCAAGGTAGGGGTCTGGCCTTTGGCATGGGGGTGGGAGGAGGAGGTTCTCTGGAGCACCAGATGGGATTCCCTCTTCTCCATTCCTACAGGGAGCCAACCTTCTCCTCACTCTCCAGGGAGATGTCAAGCTGGGTCAGTACCCCGGGGACACAATCAGGGTGAGGGTTCTGTGGGAGCTCCAGAAAGTCTTAGGGTCTGCATTCAAGTGCCGAGTGTCCTTGGGCAAGTCACTTTATAGCTTGGGCCTCAGGTTCCCCATTGAGAAAAGTGGAAGAGTCCTCTCTTCCTACTAGAAGTTGGATGTGGTTGGGTCTGTGTGGAGAACATGTGACCTGGCACTTGGTCAGAGACTGAAGGTGGTTGACCCTTCCTAGGAGGGGACCTGGCCTTGGCAAGTGTAGCTGAACTTGGTCTGCCTGTTGTCTGAGCCCTGCCAGGTGCATCCTGAGTCTGAGCCTTAGAGCTGGGTGGGGAGTGGTAGCCAGAGGGCGGGTGCCAGTAGCTCTTTCTCCTTGCAGCTGATTTTGGAGTGTCAGGCGAGCTGACGGCATCTGTGGCTAAGAGGAGATCTTTCATTGGGACTCCATACTGGTGAGGCTGCACCTCAGGCTGAGGGGGTAGGGGCCACAGGTGGAGCACCCAGCCATGCCATCTATGACTCTGCCTCTAGGATGGCCCCAGAGGTGGCCGCCGTGGAGCGCAAAGGTGGCTACAACGAGCTGTGTGACGTCTGGGCCCTGGGCATCACAGCCATTGAGCTGGGCGAGCTGCAACCCCCTCTGTTCCACCTGCACCCCATGAGGTCAGCTGAACACTTGCCCCTTGCCTGACCCCTAGGGCCCTGTTGACTCTCAACTCCTGACCTTTTGATTTCCATAGGGCCTTGATGCTCATGTCCAAGAGCAGCTTCCAGCCACCCAAGCTGAGGGACAAGACTCGCTGGTGAGGGCCCACATCCCTTGCTTGGGCCCCCTTTTCAGCCAGTCCTCTTGGGAGTAGAGGAGCCATCTGCCAACTCCCAGGGTGCAGCCTCACGAGCTCCGACCTCTCTGGTATTCTGCGGCCCCACCTCTGGGCCCATGACTGGTGTGAACAAGGAAGAAGGGCAGATAGTTGTTGATGGAGGAGCCTTCATGTCGCAATAGGAGTGTTGCTCAGGCCACCTGCCCTTGGCCTCAGGCTGGCTCCTTCCTGGGCAGGCCCAGTGTCCTCTGGAGTGGTGGCAGGGGGCAGTTGGCAGGATGTCCTGCATGAGGGCTAACCTGGGTTTGGGGGCTCTTGTGCCCACTAGGACCCAGAATTTCCACCACTTCCTCAAGCTGGCCTTGACCAAGAACCCCAAGAAGAGGCCAACAGCAGAGAAGCTTCTACAGGTGGGAGGCAGGGGACAGGGCAGGGGCTCAAGGCTTGAAAGCAGGGGCCTGGGGCCAGAGACCAACCTGAGCTCTCCTCGATCCTCCAGCACCCATTCACAACGCAACAGCTCCCTCGGGCTCTCCTCACACAGCTGTTGGACAAGGCCAGTGATCCCCACCTGGGCACCCCCTCCCCAGAAGACTGTGAGCTGGAGGTGAGTGGGTGGAGCTGGGGAATTGCGTCTTGGCCTGACCTGGTTGGAGGGAGTATAAAGATGATATAGATCCGGGTCCCTTTAACTTGGATATTTCCAGCACAGAGAGCTTCCCTCCAGGTGAGCCACCCATTAGGAGTCTTCCCTGAGCCGGCCCTGTCTCCCTGTACTGCCTCTTGCTAGGTTTCTGCCCTTGACCTGGGCTGACCATGGCCCTCGCTCAGCCATCTTCTGGTTCTGTGCGATTTTGCCCAGTTATTGGCCTCTGTGTGCTGGTTTTCTCATTTGTGAAATGAGGGTGCTGTTTAATCTCAGAGTTGTGAAAACAAAACACGTCGATGTGTGTACAGCACACTGGATGTGTTGTGAGGTGAGTGCTGGTGTGTGTCCACTGTCTGTGTTCTTTTTTAGACTTATGACATGTTTCCAGACACCATTCACCCCCGGGGTCAGCACGGCCAGGCCGAGAGGACCCCCTCAGAGATCCAGTGTGAGTGGGGTGGAGAGCTGTGTCTGTGGACTTGGTGGGGGGCTGAGTGTGGATTTGGTAGGGGGCTGAGCGTGGATTTGGTGGGGGACTGAGTGGATTTGGTGGGGGGCTGAGTGTGGATTTGGTGGGAGGCTGAGTGGATTTGGTGGGAGGCTGAGCGTGTGGATTTGGTGGGGGGCTCTGGATTTGGTGGGGGGCTGAGCTTGTGGATTTGGTGGGGGGCTGGGTGTGGATTTGGTGGGGTTTTGAGCGTGGATTTGGTGAGGGGCTGTGCGTGGATTTGGTGGGGTTTTGAGCGTGGATTTGGTGGGGGCTGAGTGTGGATTTGGTGGGGTTTTGAGCATGGATTTGGTGGGGGCTGAGTGTGGATTTGGTGGGAGGCTGAGTGTGGATTTGGTGGGGTTTTGAGCGTGGATTTGGTGGGGGCTGAGTGTGGATTTGGTGGGAGGCTGAGTGTGGATTTGGTGGGGGGCTGAGCGTGGATTTGGTGGGGGGCTGAGTGTGGATTTGGTGGGGTTTTGAGCGTGGATTTGGTGGGGGGCTGAGTGTGGATTTGGTGGGAGGCTGAGTGTGGATTTGGTGGGGTTTTGAGCGTGGATTTGGTGGGGGCTGAGTGTGGATTTGGTGGGAGGCTGAGTGTGGATTTGGTGGGGGGCTGAGCGTGGATTTGGTGGGGGCTGAGTGTGGATTTGGTGGGGTTTTGAGCGTGGATTTGGTGGGGGCTGAGTGTGGATTTGGTGGGAGGCTGAGTGTGGATTTGGTGGGGGGCTGAGCGTGGATTTGGTGGGGGGCTGAGTGTGGATTTGGTGGGGGCTGAGTGTGGATTTGGTGGGAGGCTGAGCGTGGATTTGGTGGGGGGCTCTGGATTTGGTGGGGGGCTGAGCTTGTGGATTTGGTGGGGGACTGGGTGTGGATTTGGTGGGGTTTTGAGCGTGGATTTGGTGGGGGCTGAGTGTGGATTTGGTGGGGTTTTGAGCGTGGATTTGGTGGGGGGCTGAGTGTGGATTTGGTGGGGTTTTGAGCGTGGATTTGGTGGGGGCTGAGTGTGGATTTGGTGGGGTTTTGAGCGTGGATTTGGTGGGGGGCTGGGTGTGGATTTGGTGGGGTTTTGAGCGTGGATTTGGTGGGG